AATTATTTTAAAATTTAAATTTTATACTTGTTTATTTATAAAACATCACTTATTAATAAATATAATTTTTAAATTTTGTTTAAATTAGCTTGAAAATAAGACAATAGCGACCATTTAAATTCCAAACAAATATTTTTTTGATCAACATGTTGAATAGTTTGTCAAAAATCAAACCTTTGTTTTTATAGTTTCGTGATTCGCAATTTATGGTTCCTTAATTTGCAATTAGAGGTATATTTAATTGGAAATGTAGGGAATAAAAATTTTTTTAAATAATTAATAATTAACTAAAAAGTTTATATTTTTTTATATCAAACTAAACATACTAACATTTTATCAAACTATTGTAAAATACCCAATTATTGAATAAAGCGATACCATTTATTAGTTAGTGTATAGAAAATCCCATTCAATCCTAGAAAGTATACGTACATCAGAATTTTTTTTAACTAATCCGATGGATAGGGAATAAACTACATTTTTTTTTATGGCAATCTGAAGTTGTCATGAATTAACTCTTTCTCGTACCATTGGGGTGTTTGGGCTTGGGATAACAGTCGGAAGTTATTATTGTACATAACCTAAATATTTTAAGGATATTTTTAATAAATATATTTTTTATAAGTAATTTTTATTAAAAGTATAAATATTTACTTTAATTTAATTAATTAATTAAAATTATTCATATATTAATGATATTAAAATATATATCAACTTTTACAATTTTTACATTTATTGCACTCTTAAAGGTACAGATTAAATAAACTCAAATTTTAATTTATCATTTTATTAGTTTCAAGCATCTATTTTTTTATATAATAATTTTATATCTAGATCTCACAATAAATTTTATTTAATTTAGAGTTGAGTTACATCAAATTACAAAAAACTCTTCTAATATATTTTTCTTTATTTATTAGAATCAAATTCAAAATTTTATTTAAAAGAACTAATCTTCTTTTACTTAAATTAACAAATTCTTAATAATTTCAAACATCTATATCAAGCACCATAATTTACTGATTTTTTCTTTTTAAAAAAAAAGGTGAAGAAAGAAAGGAACTGAAAAAAGAAAAGGGGACAGGACTAGAAATGTTGAAACAGCCAAGGTGCTGTACTTACTGGTTCTTTTTCCACCCTTTTCAGATTCCAGTATGCGGGGGAAACCCCACACTCCTTTTCTTTGGAATGGGAACCTCGGCCCTCTAAGGTCAGAGCCACCATGCTAATAGAAACACTACCCTCTTCTCCAAACAACCTAAAGAGGATGCTTAGTACGGGGCAACATAAAATAATTTCAAAAATTCGACTAATAAGTATTCTGCAAGTTGCTTTTGCAGATTCCATGGGAAAATCCAAAAATCACATTCATTCATAAAAGGGACCTCAAGATCTATCAAAACACCCTGATTTCCCAACAAAGAGTAACAGTCGCATAATTATTATTTCAAAGGGGATCAGAATATTGAATTCATTGACAATTGGTAAGACATTTTTAATGATTTGTCCCCTATACGGCTATACCTGTCACCTTGTTTCTTAATGGCCTTAGCTTTGTTGTGTCTTGCTATCCTCTATCCAAATTAGTTCCCCAGTACTTACTTTCTTCATCACTCTCCTGCAAAAATAAATGGCTCATGTTGCTTTCAAGAGGAGTAAGCTCATCTTCTGAAACGTTGGAAGAGTCGTCGTCATCACTAGTGTCTTCTGCTGTTGCAGCAAAAGGCAAACAATATTATCATCAATGTGAAATCTTGAAGCAATTCTTTTCTAGTAATGATCTTTGTTAAGTAGCATATTCCTCTTTGTGACGATGTTACGGTGAGAAGGATCAATGACTAAACCAATGGAATGTTTAAGAGACAAAACAATTACCATATGTGCTTACTGGACTAGAACAGCACATTAGACTCTCAAATATGGGATTGAGGGATCATAATTGATCCAAGGCAAACTGAAGGGATATAGGAAGAAGCATACAGAAAAGTGATGTAACAAAAAATGAAATTATTATTGATTCAATTGTGCAAAGAACAAAGAGGGCACCAACAAAGAAGCATGATCATTGAAAGTTGGAGGTTATTGCTTAGCAAAGTTTGATGTAGAACGGATCTGCTGAAGACATTTGCAAGTTCAAGAAGTTAGAAGATCTACTCTACCAATGAAATGGAATCACAAGTTACAGAGGTTTCTACTTAAAACAGTATAGAAATTACCTCCTGCATCTTATAGAGCCTCTGGTACCTGACTTTGTTGGAAGGAAGAGCCAAGAATCCTGGACTGAATGATCTCTGCACTGTTTTCATATGAAGAATATGCCTTGAGCAGCTCCCTACATCAATAAATTTTAGTTTAATCTTCATAGGCAGAGTTCAGCACTTTGTAAGTTCTTTGAGTATCAATTTGACGTGCTCATTCATTAGGTACATGTATCCACTTTTTGCTACATCTAGCTCTAATATTTCTCAGTTCTTGATAGGAAAACAATTATAAAGTACCTGCTGGGGGACAGGAATGCATGACCCCAGTTCAACTTGCTCAACAACAAATTCACAGTTTCCTCTTCACCACTGTCAAAGAAACAAAAAACTACAAAGATAAGTTTTTTTTAATCAGAAACAAATCAGGCTTTCAGCTAATATTGATTACATTTTAAGTTAACAACAACTGGCTTCAGGGACCCCATAGCATGCAAGACTAATGGCCTACTTAAGTTTTAAAAAATGATGCCCCAGTAGAATCAACAGACTGCTTTCTTCAGAAAAGTTTTAGATGGCTGATGAACTAAAATAAAACCAGTACCCACAAGAACAGCAGCAGAATGGTCATGCTGTCAATGAAACAAGAATTTCTGAACACAATCTACACACATACCCACATCTCCAACAGAATCCTACCAACCATATTCACCATTCTGAAACAAGACTTTCTGATCACAGCACTAGGACACACGCACTTAAAATAATATCCTATTAAGTATTAACAAAAACATTTATCAGCTTTTCATGATATCGTTGGATACAAAAACAATTTCACATAGTGGCTCTGGGAAGAAGTTATGATACCATATTAACAGAGCAGCAGCTAATGCCTCTACACAAGAAAGCTCGCATGGTCGACCATAGTTTACTCGATTTGCAACTACTAGCCAATGCACTGCAATAGTGCAATTCCAAGCAAAATGTAAAATTTATAGAACCAGGGGATTAAAAACATACATTGAATGACATAGACATACCAAAAATACATATCCATTTAGATATTTACCGCAAGGAAAACAGCCCAAACTCCAAAGTAAAGTCTGTCGTGTAATGATCATTTAATTATAAAAGATGAAGCAGTCATATAAAAATTTTCTTCAACAGTTGAGTAAATTCAAAGTAATTTGGTTATTGGATAGGCATACAAGTGACACCACTTAATCAGATATAAATAAAATAACAGAGATTGAACAGGGAATCAACAGTCAAAGAAAAAAAATGTCAACTCTCTCTGAGACATTGTTGGAACCCACGTTGCACACACATGCACCTCTAGTTTTTTACTGCGGGTACAATTCATACCAAATGATGAAGCAATGATGTAGTTGGACCAAAATATATCTAGTGAATCTAACATTTGAAAGAATTAATTATCATACACAAAGGAGGAGCACCACAACGCATCTTCACGAATGGTACATCATCCAGGCGTGCCCATGAGCAATCCACAACAGGTAACCCCCTCAAGGAAGTTTAGAGCAGTTGAGGCAATAGGTTTCACGCTTCCGTTTTTGGTCGCAGTACTAACACAACACTACACATGTCCTTCACCCCAAATTTTCTTTTTCATTCACTTTTTTTTGGAAGAGCTTATAGGTACTTTAATTTTTTTAATATTTTAAAAATATTTAAAATATTAATTAAAATAAATATTAAATATGTTTTATATATTTTTATAATATTAAAATAGTAAAACACATACAACTGTAGTTACATCCTAATACACAGCAAAGCAAGTCATAGACCAAGATCCTTCCTCAATTTTTCTAAGCCCTTGGAAGTTACTAAGTGCTAACCAATGAACACTGTTAAACTCCTACTTTGGACCAGATTTGATTTCCATTTTCTAAATTTAGATTCGGTTAGGACCAAACTACCCCGTCCAGTCCATACAATACAAGCCCGAAACCGGCCCAACTTTTTACAAAAATCTTCTATATTACAAAAGTTGAAAGTGGATTAAATTAAGCATAGTTTTTTTAAACAGATCTTTGATTTTTATAAAGTTTTAAACATATAAAGAGTTAGGAGCTGAATCTAAAGCTGTTACTTCTTAAATATATATATTTTTATAAATTTCTGAATCCAATAATTTTCATGTTTTTTATTTTTTAAATTATATTATATAAATTCATAATTCAACATTTTTATCAGAAATATATTCACCCATAAAAAAAAATCTATTCAAATTTTAAACAGAACTACTACAACTAGACTAAGGGCATGTTTGGTGTGACTTTTAGGAACTTCAGCTTCTGAATATTATTCATATTTCATGAATTTAAATTTTTTTAAAAAAAACTTACACTTTTAAATATTTTTTTAATAACAAAAAACTTTTAAACAATAAAAGTTCAAAAATTTCTAATCCAAACTTCTCGTAAACTCCATTTTAACTTATTTTTTACTCATTTTTTCATTTTTTTAAAAGCTAAAGTTTTGTTTTTCCTCTAATAAAAATTTAAATTTATCACTCATAACAGTACTCAAAAAGCAAAATCTCTCATAAACCATACCAAACAGGCTCTAAAGATATTCTGTTTGATAGAGTAGATCGGAAGTGAATAAATCAAGTATGAAATTAATTTTTTTAACTTATAAGGAAAAGTAATAGTGGGTTAAATTAAATTGACATGAAATTTGGACATAAACTATTGTAAGGGCAGAAGACAGCATAGATGTAAATTGCGCATGATGCAACATGCCTTTGCTAACTAACATGTACTGCCACAGATTGCAAAACTCCGTTTTCATTATTGGACAATAACAAATTGATAAGGGCATCTTTATTTATTATTTAATTTTTTTTTCTCAAATCTTGTAGATTTGTTATGGTCTTAATCATAAGAGAAGGTGAGAGATCAATTCAACTGAATCACTGACCTGCAAATATTATAAGAATAATAAATAATAAAATGATAATGGAAAACATGGACGAGTTTGGTGAGGTTACAAATCCAACCAATTTCGGCTGTGATATTTTCATGTTCCAACGAGTAACAGTTTAATAGATGTTAGTTAGTCCCAATCATTCTCATAGCCACCCTCGTGCAAAAAAGAAGTTTATTAACTAATGGGGTATTTTAATATAACAGTTAAATAAAATTTCTTAAAAATAGAAGTCTCAATTTTAAATCTTATATAATTAAAAAAAAATTTATGAGAAAAAGTTATATATAAGAATTGGTAATATTTTGAGAAATGTTGTTGGAACAATTATTTTGTCTTATATTTTTATATAACTTGACGTGTCATTATAATGATTGGTTCTTTTAATTCATATGAAACTTATAATATTGAATGTATCAATTTATTTAATAATATACAAAATTATACAAAAAGATGTAATAAAAAAATTGTTTCTGTAGCACTATCATAATATTTTTACTGTATTTGTTATGTAAATTGCATTATGGGAACATTATTTAATTATGGGGAGAATTTTTCCATAAAAATGAACTGAGGGAAATTTTATGGATGGGATATTGCTGGAGTTTAACTTGGTAATATAGGAAATTTAGGAAAACAGATGGGATAATGACAATTAAGAAATAATAATACTGCATAATCATCCCATTAGGTGTACCTTGCCTTTCTGTCTAGACAACTAATCGTCTTTTTTACAAATAAAAAAAAAAAATTGAAAATAGCATTTTTAGCCAGCTAAGATAGAAGATATGCTGACTCTACGGCTGCAGTTTTATAGCTGGCTTGGCTCTCTTCAAGCTGCTGCTTCCATTTCCTTTTTCAATAACATTAAGAACTTTATTTTAATCTCTTTATTGTCACGATCTCTTACTGTTAGTTTCTATGTTATGGTCTTAATAAATTAAATAATTAAATAGTATTTTTATTAATAAAAATAAAAAAATTTAGATTTGAATGGTATTAGATGCGGGTGTGGTTAGTTGGGTGATGAGAAAAAATTATCTCATATAATATAATTAATGATTAAGAAATTTACACATCATGATCTTATTTAGTTGGTAATAGTATCCATTTTTTAGATAAATTATAAAATTAAATTAAAATTAAAATTTGTTTTAGATAGGAGTAAATATAAATAATTAAAACTTAAATCTAACTAAACAAACTTATAGTATCTGTTTGATTAGATGGTTAACATTATTAAAAAAGTTTTTATTATAACAAGTAATTAAAAAAGTATAGTTGACAAGTTCTATAGTGATGTTTTATTGAGTTATTAACTTTTTTGTGTTTAGTAAGGCATTAGTAATTTAGTATAAGAAAAGTTAGTAGAAAAATTGTTAAATGAGTTTTAAATGAAGAGAGTTAGGGAAAATTTTTTCCTTTTAGAATAAGTGGAAAGAAAAGTTGGAAATTAGAAATTATGTTATAAAAAATAAATACTAAAAAATCATTTTTATTCTCATTTTGTTGTAATATTAATGTATAAAAATATATAAATAATCTTATAAAAATTATAAAAATTATAAAAATTATAAAAAAATTGATTTGGCAACCAAAGACCCATCCAGCTAACAATAATCTAGCTCCAATAAGAGAACTTATAGCTTCAATGTGACCCACAATTTGTTTGATCAACAACACACTTAGCACAAATTGGAATTTGAGAAAATAATTCTTTTGTTAACATCACAAAACTAAGACAATATGTTCTTTAAATCTGCAAACTGTTTTAAAAATTCAAGTATCACATTAATGGTTAAGATTTTAAAATGAATAACTGATATAACACTTATTGATCTAACTCATACCATATCAGCACATAAAATTTTTTTTGGAGGTGATGTGTAGGTTTTCAAACTCTGGGATGCCAAGTGCAGAATCGGAATACCATAAGGGCGTCCGGATACTGTAACTTGCTAAAATTTATAAGTCAACATCATATCCAGCCGAGCCGAATAAGGTCAGGACTCAGAGCCGTGTTGGCTTTCCAGCTGTCGGTGGCTGTAAACTGAAAACCTCTTGACTCTCTCTCACTATCTATCTTCAGGAAAACCGCAATACTCGCTGCAAAACACAAAAAAACTCGTCCATCGTCACTACAAGAAAAGGAAAAATTCTCGTTCTGTATCCTTTATTTATCTTCTCCTTCCCATTGGCTACGAAATTGATAGCACTGACTCAAAGTGCTTCTCTCATTTCTCTTTCCTTTTGATCTTTCTCTCCCTCTGTATCTGTTGGATTTCTAGCTGTTCGTGATCGCTGTTGTTTCTGCCAAATCTGAGGTCTGGATATCATCTGTTTCCTTTGTTGAATCCTTCATTTTCATTACTCGTTTTGGTTCCTTTTATTTTGTTGGAGTTGATTCGATCTGCTGTTTGGTTCCTTTAAATTTTGTTGAAATTCAGCTGGTTCTGGTGTTATTTGTTTGGATTCAAATTCATCTGATACCGTACTGGATTCTGATATTCAGTAGTCTGGAAATGTGAGTGAAGTAGAGTGAGCTGATTCGTTCCTTGATCGATTCACTCCTGTCACAATCTCTGTTGTTTTCTTTGATTCTTTAATTCTGGATTGTTACTACGATTACATGCATTGGTTTAATCTTGAGTGGAAACGATTTTAGTTCGATCAGATTGGGAAAAAATTTTGTGTACTAAAGTGGATTTCACTTGATCTGATTTGCAGGAGGTATTAAGTTCTCATTTATTTTTAATTGTTAATGTTTGGCAGGATGTTTTGATGTCTTGACGGTGCGTGGTGACTGGATCTGGAGAGGGGGGAAGATTGAGATTGATTTTTGATTTGGAATCTTGAAGTGAAAGCAAGCTGGCGGCCACACTGGCTTGGAGGCTTTCTGCCAATAACGGCAGCAGCCTTGCCACTAATGACATGGTACTTGTCTGGTTATGTTGTCAGTTTTACAGTGATTTTCTTAACTTCAACCTAATGACATTTGCATTTTAAAAACTCCAGTGTAATTGCTATAGGTAAGAATATAAGATGCCTACTCATTATTGGTAATATTTATATGTGGCTTTTTGCTGGGAAACTAATTTATATAAGCTTAAATCACTGACTATGGTCCATAGATAGGGAGATTCTTTTTTGAAAATGATTTATGAGGGAAAAGATATCCTGTGAAACTTGAGAAATTTATAGTGAATGACTGGATGAATGTATTATTTTTTATTGTTTACCTGTACTTGTAAAGCTGTATTTGAGAATGTGTAGGGTTAGTATACTATCTTAATCTACCTATAACTTTTTTATACCCTATAACTTTTTTATACTATCTTATTGTTTCTTAGGTTTTTGTTGTGTGGTCATGATTGAAGGCTAATATTGAGTTTTTTATATCATGTGCATTTTTTCTCTAATGGCTACAGGAGAAAAATGGGGATGCAAAACTTCAAGATTCAGAGCCCCCAACTCCACATTCAGTTATAAAGATGAGTACAAGGTACAGAGCATTGGCCAACTGATGTTGTTATTTATTTTCCTAGCTGAGTCCCTTGCAAAAGTCTAGAGCATGAGTAAACCTTTTCTTTTACTATGGCAGAATACCTCATCAAACCATACTCCTTGCTCTCTATTTCTCTCTAAAATTTAAAATATTTGTGTTGAATTTTGATGGTTATTAGCAATTATGATTCTTGGCTAACTGTTTTATATCCTAAATCACTTCTAGGGATCGTACCGGTAGCATGGAGGATCCAGATGGGACATTGGCAAGTGTTGCACAATGCATTGAGCAATTGCGGCAGAATTCATCATCTGTACAAGAGAAAGAGTATTCCTTGAGGCAGTTGCTTGAACTTATTGACACACGTGAAAATGCATTTAGTGCTGTTGGATCTCACTCACAGGCAGTTCCAGTACTAGTCTCTCTTCTCCGATCTGGCTCTCTTGGAGTAAAGATACAGGCTGCTACCGTTTTAGGCTCTCTTTGTAAAGAAAATGAACTAAGAGTGAAAGTCTTGCTTGGAGGATGCATTCCACCTTTGCTTGGTCTTCTCAAATCCAGCTCAGCTGAAGGTCAAATTGCAGCAGCAAAGACAATCTATTCTGTTTCTCAAGGTGGTGCCAAGGATCATGTTGGATCAAAAATTTTCTCAACTGAGGGAGTTGTGCCAGTACTCTGGAAGCAGCTACAAAATGGGCTTAAGACTGGAGATTTAGTTGATGAGTTACTGACTGGAGCACTGAGAAATCTCTCCAGTAGCACTGAGGGATTTTGGCAGTCAACTGTGCAAGCTGGAGGAGTGGATATTCTTGTGAAGTTGCTCACAACTGGGAAGTCAAGTACTCAAGCTAATGTATGCTTTCTTCTTGCATGTATGATGATGGAAGATGCATCTGTTTGTTCCAAGGTATTGGCTGCTGAAGCTACAAAACAACTGCTCAAACTTTTGGGACCTGGTAATGAAGACTCTGTTAGAGCAGAGGCTGCTGGTGCTCTGAAGTCTCTTTCTGCCCAGTGCAAAGAAGCAAGGCGGGAGATAGCTAATTCGAATGGTATTCCTGTTTTAATAAATGCAACAATAGCTCCTTCAAAAGAATTTATGCAAGGTGAGCATGCCCAAGCATTACAGGAGAATGCAATGTGTGCTCTAGCAAATATTTCTGGTGGCTTGTCATATGTTATCTCAAGCCTTGGTCAAAGCCTTGAATCATGTTCTTCACCAGCGCAGACAGCTGACACTCTAGGGGCATTAGCTTCAGCTCTTATGATATATGATAGCAGTGCTGAATCTACTAGACAATCTAATCCGCTAGCAATTGAGCAAACTTTAATTAAGCAGTTTAAACCTCATTTAGCATATCTTGTACAAGAAAGAACAATAGAAGCCCTAGCCAGTTTGTATGGGAATGCCATACTCTCAAATAAACTTGAGAATTCAGATGCCAAACGTTTACTTGTTGGTTTGATCACAATGGCAACCAACGAAGTTCAAGAGGATCTTATGAGAGCTCTTTTGACACTCTGCAAAGATGAAGGCAGCCTATGGCATGCAGTTCAAGGCCGTGAGGGAGTTCAGCTGTTGATATCACTTCTCGGTCTTTCATCAGAACAACAGCAAGAATGTGCTGTTTCACTCCTTTGCCTTCTTTCTAATGAGAATGATGAAAGTAAGTGGGCCATTACTGCTGCTGGTGGTATTCCTCCACTCGTTCAAATTCTGGAAACAGGGTCTCCAAAAGCCAAGGAAGATTCTGCAACCATCCTCAGGAATCTATGCAATCACAGTGAAGATATCCGTGCATGTGTTGAGAGTGCTGATGCTGTTCCTGCATTGTTATGGTTACTTAAGAATGGAAGCCCTAATGGGAAAGAAATTGCAGCAAAGACTTTGAATCATTTAATCCATAAATCTGATACAGCAACTATCAGTCAACTTACTGCATTATTGACCAGTGATCTACCTGAATCTAAAGTTTATGTTTTGGATGCTCTGAGGAGCATGCTTTCTGTGGTGCCATTTAATGATATACTGCGTGAGGGGAGTGCGGCAAATGATGCGATTGAGACGATGATTAAAATATTGAGCTCTACCAAAGAAGAAACTCAGGCTAAATCAGCCTCAGCTCTCGCTGGGATTTTTGAGGTTAGAAAGGACTTGCGTGAAAGTAGTATTGCTGTTAAAACTCTTTGGTCAGTGATGAAACTCCTAAATGTTGAATCAGAGAACATCTTGATGGAGTCCTCTCACTGCCTTGCTGCAATATTTCTTTCAATTAAAGAGAACCGAGATGTGGCTGCTTCTGCTCGTGATACATTGTCTTCCTTGGTTTCACTTGCCAACTCTTCAATTCTTGAAATTGCCGAGCAGGCAACTTGCGCCCTAGCAAATCTTATTTTGGATAGTGAAGTCTCAGAAAAAGCTACTGCTGAAGAAATTATTCTGCCTGCTACAAGAGTTTTACGAGAAGGCACTGTTTCAGGAAAGACCCACGCAGCAGCAGCTATTGCACGCCTTCTCCATTCAAGGCGAATTGATCATGCTGTTACTGATTGTGTGAACCGTGCTGGAACTGTTCTTGCATTAGTTTCATTTCTGGAATCTGCCAGAGGTGAATCTGATGCCACATCAGAGGCACTAGATGTTCTTGCTATTCTGTCAAGGTCAGAAGGGGCTAGTGGACAAATAAAACCTACGTGGGCAGTTTTGGCTGAATTTCCAAGAAGTTTAACTCCGATAGTTTCATCAATTGCTGATTCACCACCTCTGTTACAGGATAAAGCCATTGAGATATTGTCACGTGTTTGCCGAGAACAACCTGTTGTCTTAGGAGACACAGTGGCTACTTCTTCTGGTTGTATATCATCCATCGCTAGACGGATCATCAGTTCCACCAACCCAAAGGTTAAAGTTGGGGGGACTGCACTTCTTATATGTGCAGCAAAAGTTAACCACTGTAGAGTGTTGGAAGATCTTGATCAATCAAACTCATGTACCCATCTTATTCAATCACTTGTGGCAATGCTTGATTCTGCAGAGACTTCTTTGGCCAAACAAGGAGATGATTATCATGAGGCCATTAGCATCTGCAGGCATATTAATGAATCCAGGAATAAAGAATCTGATATGGGAACTGCTGTTATTTCTGGTTACCATTTAGCTATATGGCTGCTTTCTGTTCTTGCTTGCCATGATGAGAAGAGTAGAACTGTGATAATGGAGGCTGGAGCAGTTGAAGTTGTCACTGAAAGAATCACCGAGTACTCTTCACTATATGCTCAGGTATTCATTACTTCTGCTTTTAGCTATTTAAAATGTACTACCTCCATTCAACTTTAGTTGTCCTACTTTCTAATTTGGAAAATTCAAATTCAGTTGTCCACTTTTCTATTTGAACATGTCATTTATGCATTTGGTCTTATTTCACCCTTATTTTAAGGCGATAATTACAATACATATTATAATGAGTAGATTTATTTAGGTTGAGGTTAAATAGGGATGAATATGAAATTTTATTAATTAGTTATTACATTCCTATTTTATTGGACTAAAAAACCTAGGCCAACTAAAGTTGAACAGAGGGAGTATTGAAAAAAAATTAGCGTTATAGCGCATCTAAATCAAATTCCTTGGTGTTAGCATATGCATGTTGATATTTTCCCTAATTATGGGATGGCTAAATCTTTTGTTTATCCTCTAATTTTTGTAAAACCTGATTTAGTTGTCTTTGGTAATTCTGCAGATTGATTTTAAAGAAGATAACAGCTTGTGGATTTGTGCATTGCTGTTGGCAATTCTATTTCAAGATAGAGATATCATTCGGTCACATGCAACAATGAAATCCATACCAGTACTTGCTAATTTATTGAAGTCAGAGGAGTCAGCAAACAGATATTTTGCTGCACAAGCAATTTGTAGTCTTGTTTGTAATGGCAGCAGGGGGACTCTTCTCTCTGTTGCAAATTCTGGGGCGGCCAGTGGGCTGATCTCCTTAGTTGGCTGCGCTGATACTGATATACAGGAACTTCTTGAATTGTCAGAGGAGTTTGCATTGGTGCATTACCCAGACCAAGTTGCTCTTGAAAGGTTGTTTAGAGTTGAAGATATTAGGACAGGTGCTACTTCTAGGAAAGCAATACCGGCAGTTGTTGATCTACTCAAGCCAATTCCAGACCGTCCTGGTGCCCCTTTTCTTGCACTTGGTCTTCTGACTCAACTTGCAAAAGACTGTCCATCAAATAAGATTGTTATGGTAGAATCAGGAGCTCTGGAAGCACTGACCAAGTATCTTTCTCTTGGCCCTCAAGATGCAACTGAGGAGGCTGCTACTGATCTCTTAGGAATCCTATTTAGCAGTGCTGAAATTCGAAGACATGAGTCTGTATTTAGTGCTGTGAATCAGCTTGTAGCAGTTCTACGCCTTGGTGGGAGAGGTGCTAGGTATAGTGCTGCTAGAGCTCTAGAAAGTCTTTTCTCCGCTGACCATATCAGGAATGCAGACACTGCCCGACAAGCTGTTCAACCTTTAGTGGAGATTCTTAATACTGGATTGGAGAGAGAGCAGCATGCTGCCATTGCAGCATTGGTTAGGTTGCTGAGTGACAACCCATCAAGAGCCCTTGCTGTTGCAGATGTTGAAATGAATGCAGTAGATGTACTTTGCAAGATACTTTCATCAAATTGTTCCATGGATCTAAAAGGGGATGCTGCTGAGTTGTGTGGTGTTCTTTTTGGAAATACAAGAATCAGGTCCACAATGGCTGCAGCTCGTTGTGTTGAGCCTTTGGTCTCTCTTCTTGTAACTGAGTTCAGCCCTGCTCAGCATTCAGTTGTGCGTGCATTGGATAAACTAGTAGATGATGAACAGCTGGCAGAACTAGTTGCTGCTCATGGTGCAGTAATTCCTCTTGTTGGCCTTCTCCATGGTAGGAATTACATGCTTCATGAGGCTATCTCTAGGGCTCTTGTGAAGCTGGGAAAAGACAGGCCTACTTGTAAGATGGAAATGGTGAAAGCTGGAGTTATTGAGAGCATACTTGATATCCTTCTTGAGGCACCAGATTTCTTGTGTGCTGCTTTTGCAGAATTGCTCCGGATACTGACAAATAATGCTACCATTGCCAAAGGAGCATCTGCTGCAAAGGTGGTTGGGCCCCTTTTCCTATTGCTGACAAGACCAGAATTTGGCCCTGATGGACAGCATAGTGCTTTGCAGGTCCTTGTAAATATTCTAGAGCATCCACAATGTCGCGCTGAGCACACATTGACCTCTCACCAAGCTATTGAACCACTTATCCCACTGCTTGATTCTCCAGCTCCAGCAGTGCAGCAATTGGCAGCTGAGCTTCTTTCAAATCTACTCTTGGAAGAACATCTTCAGAAGGATGCAGCAACACAGCAAGTAATTGGTCCCCTAGTAAGGGCTCTTGGTTCTGGCATACACATATTGCAGCAGAGAGCTGTCAAGGCTCTTGTTGGCATTGCCCTTACATGGCCAAATGAAATTGCAAAAGAGGGTGGTGTGAATGAGTTGTCCAAAGTGATACTGCAGGCTGATCCTTCACTTCCTCATGTCTTATGGGAATCAGCCGCTTCTGTTTTATCCAGTATTCTGCAATTCAGTTCTGAATTCTACTTGGAAGTTCCTGTTGCTGTGTTGGTAAGGTTGCTCCGTTCTAGCTCAGAGAGCACAGTAATTGGTGCTTTGAATGCTCTTCTGGTGCTGGAAAGTGATGATGGAACAAGTGCCGAAGCAATGGCTGAAAGTGGTGCTATTGAGGCTCTTTTAGAACTCCTAAGAGCTCATCAGTGTGAGGAAACAGCTGCAAGGCTGCTGGAAGTATTACTTAACAATGTGAAGATCAGAGAAACAAAAGCTACTAAATCTGCTATCTTACCATTATCACAGTACCTTCTGGATCCGCAAACCCAGACTCAGCAGGCAAGGTTATTGGCAACTTTGGCTCTTGGTGACCTTTTCCAGAATGAGGCCCTTGCTCGAAGTACTGATGCTGTTTCAGCTTGTCGTGCTTTAGTTAACGTGCTAGAAGAGCAACCTACAGAAGAGATGAAGGTGGTAGCTATATGTGCCTTGCAAAATCTTGTAATGTACAGTCGATCAAATAAGAGAGCAGTTGCAGAGGCTGGTGGTGTTCAAGTTGTACTGGATTTGATTGGTTCAAGTGATCCAGAGACTTCGATTCAGGCTGCCATGTTTGTCAAACTTCTCTTTTCTAATCATACCATTCAAGAGTACGCTTCTAGTGAAACTGTCAGGGCAATAACAGGTAAGATCTCTAATTGTTGTCTTGTGGTGAATTTGGTGAGTTTCAGTATGATAGCTCCATTTATTGTATGATATTTTTATGTCTCACAGCTGCTATTGAAAAGGATTTATGGGCTACTGCAAATGTAAATGAGGAGTATCTGAAAGCCCTAAATGCTTTGTTGGGAAACTTCCCACGTCTGAGAGCCAATGAGCCCGCCACTCTCAGTATTCCCCTCCTGGTTCAATCCCTTAAAACAGGTTCTGAGGCAACTCAGGAAGCTGCCTTGGATGCTCTTTTTCTACTCAGACAGGCTTGGTCCGCTTGCCCACCTGAAGTTTCGAGAGCCCAATCAGTTGCCGCCGCTGATGCAATCCCAGTGCTGCAATACTTAATCCAGTCTGGCCCACCTCGATTTCAAGAGAAGGCAGAACTTCTTCTGCAGTGTTTGCCTGGGACACTAGTGGTGATAATTAAGCGTGGCAATAATATGAAACAGTCAGTTGGGAACCCAAGTGTTTATTGCAAACTTACGCTTGGAAACACTCCACCCAGGCAAACCAAGGTAAGTGCTTCAGTATTATTCCATATGCTACTATTATCATTCTACAATGCGGATTCAAGATTTTGTCTTTATATGATTTTTTTTCTTTTTGTCTTTATTTGAATTAATCATTTATCCCTATTTGGTGAAAGTAAATAATTAAGAAAAGTTGAAAAAAAAAAAAAAATCCTGCATGTTTATTGAACATTCCCAGTCAGAGCAGCTACCAAAAATTATGCATGCATGGGCTTTGCAACTTCTGCTTCAATGTTGCCTAACAGATATTGTTATGGAGAAGACACAAGTTTTGTCCTCAAAAGCCAATAATTATACAAACCAGTTAGAACATTTGTTTGCTGTTCATTCCCAAACAACTGCCAATTATTACATGTATCTAATCAATCAGGTAACTTTTGTTGGTAGTTAGCATCTGATCTATCAACCTAGGACAATTTGGAAGTTCTGGTCCGGTAATGTTATCATCTAAATCTATACAACATGCAATATTTTTTTTTCTAGGATGTGCAAATGAAAATTTTCCCCTACAAGTTTTATCCTGCTTGTTGTGAGCCTCTACTTATTATTTCAGGGAAAAAAAATCCTTTGAATAAAATCAAACTGTATTCTGTTCAATAATTACATTATTAAATTAGTCTAATCTATTTTTTTCTGCCATGGTTAGTAATTGACTTTTTGCTTACTTAGTTGCCCAAGGGATTGGTTGAAAGAAGAAAAAAATCCCATGAAATCCTTCTGCACTAATTTGGTTTCTTCAGTCTCGTTGTTTGCCTTTCTTTTAATGCTTGTTTAATCCCAACTTTATTTGTAAACTTGTCAGGTTGTTTCCACTGGTCCTAATCCAGAATGGGATGAAAGCTTTGTATGGTCTTTTGAGAGTCCTCCCAAAGGCCAGAAACTTCATATCTCTTGCAAGAACAAGAGCAAAATGGGGAAGGTAATTTCACCAAAGAAAATAATACTTGTCTCCATTTTTTAGTTTGTGTTGAATCCTCCTAATAGAAACTAAATTTGGAACATTTTCATTGAACCACAGAGTTCTTTTGGAAAAGTAACAATCCAGATTGATCGGGTTGTAATGCTAGGAGCAGTTGCTGGGGAGTATACATTGTTGCCTGAGAGTAAAAGTGGGCCTTCACGGAACTTAGAAATTGAATTCCAGTGGTCTAACAAGACACAGGAGTAATTCTTTTTCGGTTGCAGAAGGAGAATTTTTGGGGAAAATATGGAGTAGGGGAACCTTTCTTTTCAGGTTATTTATCATGTCAGTGTACATAGTCTCTGAGTTCTCGGAGTATAGTCATTTGTCATGGCATTTTTTTCTAAACCTAATTTATATTTTAAGGGACTAAATTATAATTAAAAAAAATGTAGGCTTCTCTGTAATTCTTGTATTCAATTGGTTGTGCACGTCCATTTAAATTAAAATAATTTTCTTCTTGGTTTTTTAGTGCTAAATGCCAATGAAGAACTTTTTTTTTAACATTTGATTATGCTTCAAGCATTTAAACTTTCAACGTGAATATTCAATATTCATTTTATATAATACTAAATGGATAAATACATAAATTTCTAAATATAAAGAGTAGTTGATTGTTTTTTCATTAGCAAATCACATCTTGAGTGTAATTAGTAAAGTTTAAAAGTACTTATTTAATGTTAATATATATTTTTTAAAATTTGAAAATTTATTAAAAATAAAAATTAACTTCTAAAAGTAATTTTAAATAAATTTTAAAAAATTAATATGTATAACTCTTTTTT